GGGGGCGGGGGAGAGCTTCACTTTCACCAGCCTCTCTCTTTTTCTCTCTCTCTCTCTCTTTCCCTCTCTCTCTTTCTCTTTTCTCTGTCTTTTTCTCTCTTTCTCTCTCCCTTTTTCTCTCTCTTTTCTCTTTCTCTTTTTCACTTTCCCTCTCCCTCTCTTTTACTCTCTCTCCCTCTTTTTCTCTCCCTTTCTCTTTCTCTCTCCTCTCTCTTTTTCTCTTTCTCTCTTTTCTCTCTCGCTTTCTCTGCCTCTCTCTTTCTCTCTTTTTCTTTCTCTCTTCTCTCTTTCTTTTTCTCTTTCTCTCTTTTTCCCTGTCTTTCTCTCTTTTATTCTCTCTCCCTCTTTTTCTCTTGCTCCCTCTCTTTTTCTCTCTCTCTTTCTGTCTTTCTTTCTCTCTTTCTCGTTCTCTCTCTCTCTCTCTCTCTGTCTTTCTCTTTTTCTCCCTTTCTCTTCCTCTTTCTCTCTCCCCCTCTCTTTCTTTTTCTCTCTCCCTCTTTTTCTTTTTTCTTTTTTCTCTCTCCTCTCTCTTTCTGTCTTTCTCTCCCTCTCTCTTTTTCTCTTTTTCTCTCTCTCCTCTTTCTCCCCCTCTCTTTTTCTCTCTCTCCCTCTCTTTCTTTCTCTTTCTCTTTCTCTCTTTTCTCTCTCTTTCTCTGCCTCTCTCTTTTTCTTTCTCTTCTCTCTTTCTCTCTTTCTCTCGTTCTCTTTCTCTCTTTTTCCCTTTCTCTTTCTTATTCTCTCTCCCTCTTTTTCTCTTGCTCCCTCTCTTTTTCTCTCTCTTTCTCTTTCTGTCTTTCTTTCTCGTTCTCTCTCTCTCCCTCTCTCTTTTTCTCTTTCTCTCTCTCCCTTTCTTTTTCTCTCTCTCCTTTCTCCCCCTCTCTTTTTCTCTCTCTCCCTCTCTCTCTCTCCCTCTCTTTCTTTTTCTCTCTTTCTCCCTCTCCCTCTCCCTCTTTCTCTCCCTCTCTCTCTTTCTTTTTCTCTCTCCCTCTCTTTTTCTTTCTTTTTTCTTTTCTCTCTCTCCTCTCTCTCTCTTTCTCTGTCTTTCTCTTTTTTTCTCTTTCTCTCTCTCCCTTTCTTTCTCTTTCTCCCTCTTTTTCTCTTTCTCTATTCCTCCCTCTTTTTTTCTCTCACTCCCTCTTTCTCTCTCTCTCTGTCTTTCT